AGCCCATAGCATTCATTACTTTGCTTAAATTTGCATTTCTTCCCTTATGGGTGAGGCGGACCATTTGCTTTTATTTCCTTCTTTATTTTGAACATACCATCTAGGATCCAGTTCTTATTAATGACTAATGAAGTGATAAAAACCACCCGGTATGGAGTTCTTGGGAACTGACCACGCCATGCACTATACTAAACCCACTAGTCCTCATTTTACTCTCAGATTTGATATTTTATAAACAAATTTTTTCTTTGAGACAGGAGATGTGGTTTAGTTGTGTGCCGTGTGTGCTGGTAGAGCGCTTGCCTCGCATGCACGGAACCCTGGGTTCAGTCCTAGCTTTGATGACGGAGGTGTGGTGGTGCACACCTATAATCCCAGCACCCAGGAGGTGGAGACAGGAGGAGCAGAAGTTCAGGGCCATCCTCTGCTACATAGAGAGGTCGAGGCCAGGCTGGGCAACATGAGGCCCTGTCTCAAAAGAAAAAAAAAAAAGGTTTTTCTTCTTGTTTCTTCTTGGTTTTGATATTTGAAGTAGTAATTAAACACCACCAACTCTCCCCTTTAATTCCTGGATGTGTGTCTGTCAAGAAGATGACCTGGAGTCTGATTCCATTCATCTCCTGTGCATCCGTGTGGCCAACAGGAGCGTTTGTAACCTCTAACCCGGAAGTGGTAAAAGCCTTCGGTGTTCAAGCTGAGCTTTCTCCTTTCCAGGGTCTCCCCCTCACTCTTCTTCCCATCCGTCCTGTCCCCTGCTCCTGGCTGCCCTCTGGTGCCACCAGGGCAGACCTAGTGAGACACACTGACCTCGCTCCATCTTAGAGGCTGGCCTCCCTAAGAGTTTGCCTCCTCTGGCTTAGAGCAACGGAAGGGGCCATTCTGGTCACCGCCGCCCCCAAACCTGTGGCACAAGTTGTTGAGCTGGCTCTAAAACCTGCTTCTCTCTTAGGCTGGGAAGCCTCCCTCTTGCTGGGGGTGGATTCGAGTCCTGCCCTAGACCGCCTTCTTCCCATAGACTGAGAGGTGCCTGCTTCTGGCTCTCTCTGTGGGCATCTCTCCCGGCTCCCTTCTGGCAGGTCCTGCTGCTGCTGTGGCAACACGGAAAATCAGAAAATCCACCTTTTCCGAGAGACCCTAGAGACATTTTCAAAAGAACCTTTGGCCGAAGCACCCCAGAAAGAGCAGCTGACACAAGTCCTGCGGCGGGCTTCCCTCCCTTTCCTGTCGCCCATAGCCCATTGACTAATTCCATTTCCTGATGGAAAACAGGGACCGCCAATGGCAAGCATAGATGGGCCGAGCCCAGTGGAGCCCGAAGCCCAGGTGCTTTGCTTGGCACAGACCCCAACTGGCTTCTTAACTTCTCCAGGGCCAAAATGGCAGCAGCTGGCAAACATGCTTAGCAGCAGCCCCTGCACTAGGCCAGTCACACACCTACCAAATGCTCCCAGCCAGCTGCTGACTGGGGCACCGAGGCCCAGAGACACAAGCCACAAAGCAGCCCAGCGTGGGGACAGCACCATGGTCTGTAGGCCTGCCAGCTCTTACTGCTTCATGTCTTCCTCCTAGTTTTTAAATGTAGAAATCTTATTTGCACTGGCCGGTCACTTTGCAATTAAACAAATGAATTTTAAATTTTGTTTTATGATAGTAAGACATACACCTCTTCCTTTAAAAGTTATTATTTATTTATTTATTTATTTATTTATTTATTTATTTATGTGTGCCGTGTGTGCTGATGCTCACAGAAGCCAGAAGGGGGCGTCAGATCCCTTGGGGCTGAAGTTGCCGGCAGTTGTGAGCTGCTTCATGTGGGTGCTGGGAACTGAACTCAGGTCCTCTGGGAGAGCAGTAACTGCCTATCTCTCTACCTTCTAAGCGAGTTTGAGGTGTAAAGTTCTGTGGGACTGCCCACGTTCTCAGGGTCGTGTGGGCATCACCATATCTCATCTCCGGAGCTTGTTCACAGTCCCTCCTTGATGCTGTCCTCCTTAAACACTGACCCCCTCAGCCCCCAACTCTCTAGAAGCCCCTGTTCTGCATAAACTTGATCATGGTAGGGACCTCATATAAACGGAGCCATAATACATTGCGCCTTTCGTTCTGGCTTAGTTCACTTGATGTGATATTTTTAAGGTTTACCACATGCAAGTTAGTATGTGGTAGAATTCCAACCCCCACCGCCCTGTATTTTTTTGTTGTTATTAAAGACAGCCCTAGGCCTCATGCATACTAAGCAAGTGGTCTACCATTAAGCCTTCTTTTCTTTTTATTTTGAGACAGAGTTGCACACTGCAGTCCAGGCAGGCCTTGAATTTGTGATTCTCCTGTCTCAGACTCTAGAAGAATCTCCTTCCTTTTCAAGACTGAATAATATCCCATTGTGTGTGTGTCCCACAGTGTGTTCACAGTTGGGCTGCTTCTGCTAATGCAAATCCCTGCTGGAGCCTTTGCCTTTCATCCTCTGTGTGGAGTGTGAGGACCTTGAGGACCACCAAATCTTTTGAGAAATTTTCGTGCTGTTTTCTGTAGTGTTGAGGCCACACACACACAGACACACAGACACACACACAGACACACAGATGCAGAGACACAGACACACACACACAGGCACACACAGACAGACAGACAGATAGACAGATACACACACACACACACACACACACACACCCCTCCCCCAGCAGCACAGAGATGCTGTTTTCTCCCTGTCCTAAACAGCACTCTCTCCCTCGGGTTCCTGTCCCCTGTTATAATTCTGAATTTGTTTAATCACACTGGACTTCCCTTTCCTCTTTGGGGACAAAGGGAGGTGTGTTGGGCCTTCAGGGGGGCTGGAGGGGAGGCACTGCAGGGGGAGACAGGTGAGGGCTCACTTATCTGCTGGATGTAAATAGGTTTTCTGTGGTTAATAGCCCAGGCACACCTGTGCAGGCCACATCGCTCTGGTCATCACTATGGGCATGGGATTTTTTTGAGACAGTTTCATTATGTAGCCCAGGCTGGCTTCTAACTTTCCACCATTCTCCTACCTCCATCTCCTGATTGCTGGGATGACAGGTGTGTGCTAAGGAACCAGCAATCCTTTGAAAGATGTTTTCTATGAAGCTCAGGTTCAGAGGGATTTTGAAGCTTGAGGTGCCTCCCCTCCCCCACTAGAGTGTGGGGAGATGTAGCCTGCTGCCTCCTCCCTCTCTCTAGTTTCTGATCTGGTGGGTCTGGGCCTGAAGATTTGCATTTTAACAAATCCTTGGGATGTGGCTGCTGCTGGTCCAACAGCTCTAAGGAGCTGAGCTCTCAGCTGGGCAGTAGGCACAGGAGCTGCTGAGCACATGCGGTGTTTAACTTAGTGACAGACACAGTGGGCAGCCCAGTTCCTCCACTGCAGAAGTGCGTGGTTGGCTCCTCCTGTGCTACTTGGCACAGATGTAGGGTGTGCACAGCACTCTGGGAAGTTCTGTGGAGTGAGCCAGGTTTGGTGGTACATGCCATGTTGAGATTTCAACAGTTGATAACTGAAGCAGGCCAGCTTGGGCTACACCGTGAGAGCCTGCCTCAACAGACACACACAGACGTGCACAAGCACACAGACACAGACACACATGTGTGCATATGTACACATAGACATTCACATAGACACAAACACAGAGACACATACATACACACACACGTACACACATGCACACGTACATAGGCACTCACGCACATACACATATACACACATAGACACAGACACGTATACATACATACACACAGACACATGTATACACATGCACATATGCATACACAAAGACACATGCACACATATACACACAGACATACGTATACACGTATATGCACGTGTATGCACACATACACACACACAGGGGCAGGGAATGACAGAACACTGGTTATGTGATTAGGTAATCAAGTATTTGTCCCAGTTTTCCCATCTGTAAAGAACCATGACCACACTCTCCAGCTCCTGCCCAGGTTTGATGCTGGCTTATGGGATTCAGTGAGTTCACATGGGGACATGCTTGGACAGGGTGCGGTGATACCCGAAGGCCCCCAGCATGGCCTTCATTGTTTCCCCAGCCCTTTCCCTCCCTCTCTCCTCTTCACTAGAAGCTTCTAGAATCTCAGAAGCAGTTCCTGGAGATTCCATGACCAAATGCCATGGCCCATGGACTGTTGGATTTGGCACCATCCAGGCTGTTTCTCCCCCTAGTCTTGACCTTAAGCCATGGCCCCTGCCTGCTCTGAACTCTGGGGCCAGTGTTGGGTGCTTTGTGGAATGGGGGCTTGGGGAGGGCAGGGGAGCGCCACAGCCTGGGTAGAGTTTTAAGGTACCACTGCCCCCGCCCCTCTGCCTCCCCCTCTGTAGTTCATTTTGCTTTGAAACCCTGTGAGTTTTGTTTCTGAGACTCTAGGGTACCTAATACTCTTTTTTTGTGCCCATGTTGGTTCTCCTACGGGATCTGCCTCCAGGGCTATCTTGGGAGCATGGTGACCAAGTCCTGCTCATGAGGTACCACCCCACCCACATGGTGGATCTCCCATGTGACCCACATCTACTACCATCAACGAGGGGTGGGGACCAGCCTCCACCCCTCAGCTGTCCCTCTCAGCTGGACCCCAAG